TTTCTGAACAGAGATCCTGTAGGGATTTTGATTGACATTAATTTGACTTTATAGATTTCCTTTGAAGAGAGTTCATATCTTCATCACAATGAGTCTTTGAGTTCATGAATATAGTATATCTCTTCATTTATTGGATCTTTAGAATCATTTTAATATAGCAGCAGCAACACATATAACTAAAATTAATTACATTACCAACTACACAAAATAAAATGATTATAAGAGAATAATCTGAACAATTGTACACCAAAAAATAGGTAGACTGAATGAAACAGAAAACTTAGAAATGGAATTTACCTAAAGTGACTCAATAAAAAACAAAAACTCAACATGTCTATAACAATACATAGATTGAATCAGTAATCAAAAAACTATGAAACATTTGAAAAACAAATGACACAAATTCTTCTTGAACTCTTGTAAAATATAGAGCACAAAACACTTCCTAACTCATCATACGAGGCTAACCTTGCCTTGATTTCAAAGCCAGAGCAAGGTATCAGAACAAAATAAATTTATAGACAAATATTTTGTATGAAGTTAAATGCAAAAATTTTCCAAACATACTAACAAACTGATTCCAACAGCATATTTAAAGGGTGATACACCTTTACCAAACGGGATTTATCCCAGGAATACTAGGGTAGTTCAACATAAGTAAATCAATCAATGTAATGTACTACATTAATAGAACAAAGAAAAAAAAGCGTGATCGTCTCCTTGATGCACAAAAGGCATTTGACACAATCTGACATACTATAGAGACAAAAGCACACATAAACTAAGATGTGAGTAGTGATGATGGTTACGCAACATTGTGAATATAATTAATGCCACTGAATTGAATTGTACACATAAAATGATTAAAATTATGTAACATGATGTCACAACTGAAAATTTAAAACAAGTATTACAATGAATTAAAACTATTCAATGTGATAAATCCATGAGCTCATATTTATATTCAAAGATAAGTGAATTGTTCAACTTCGGAGCTTCACCCTTATTACATAAAATAAGGTAATAAAAGGAAATAGATAAATAATGGAAAAGATGAAACATTTATTCTGCTGTTTCTATATGAATTTTACCCCTTTGTAATCAATTAGGAGATGAAGTGCTGCAGCTATTTATAAGTAAACAAGTGATAGTGGAATTAGAACTTTCGCCACTTTCTATTGTAGTGAATTACTCAGTCTAGACATTCACGTTAGTAGCTGCTAACATCACAAATAAAGAACCAAACATCGTGTTCTTTATGATTAAAGAACACAAAACCACCTATAGTTTTATTAAAAAGATCAAAACTGAGTCTAACCTAAGCTAGACTTCAGGTCTAGCCTCCAATTCACATTAAAAAAACTAAGGACAGAAAACTGTCCTTAATTACATCATGAGTGTACAATATATTCTTTGGATTCTCTACTAGATAAGTTTTAATAAAAGCAAAGGTTTAGAGGAAAAACATATGCATAAAACAAAATTTATAAAATGTTTCATAAAAATTGATAACTTTAAATGAATATAAGCAAGCTACTACTATAAATGCAAGATAGGTGTTGAGAGAGTGGAAAAGATTTTGAATGGACAGCAAAATTGGAAGGATTTATCGGATTGCGGGTATGATTCTGTTTTCTAACTTGGATTGGGTACACAGGAGTTTGACTTATAATAAGTCACTATGCCATATCTATATCTATATCTATAGATAGATATATATATCTTCAGTGTATTTTCATAATTCACTTCATTTTGCAATAACATATTACAAATTATTTACAGAGAGAAATGTATTCACAACATTTTAAAAGCGGCAGTATTAATGGTACTACCTTAAGGGAGGGAGTTGTAAGAGTTAAGTGAGAGTATATATAAAGCATTTTCACTGGCATGTTTAAAATTCTATTATTATAACAAATATTATTTGTTATCACAAAACTAATACTTAAGTCTTTAAATAGTTATATTACCAATTTAAACACATTTGCTACTTCACAATTATCACAACCATAGAGGTAATATTTTCATCCTTGTATAGAAACATGACTAGCTTTTGCCCAAATATGGGCAACATATGTACTGTTAAAGTACATCATATACCACTTAATGATGGGGATATGTTCTGAGATATCTATCCTAAGCAATTTGGTTGTTGTGCAAACATCACAGAGTATATAACCTAGATGGTATAGCCTATTCCACACCTACGCTATACAATATAGCCAGTTGCTCCTAGGCTACAAGAGTACAACATGTTACTGTTCTGAATATGGTAGGCAATTATAATGCAATAGTGAGTGTTTGTGTATTTAAAAACATCTAAACATAGAGTACGGTAAAAATATGCTATGAAAGACAAAATATAGTACACCTGTATAGAGCACTTACTATTTAAAGGAGCTTGCAGGATTGGTAGCTGCTCTGGGTGAGTCAGTGAGTGGTTAGTGAATTTGTGAAGGCCTACACTGTACAATTAGGCTACAATAAATTCATAAAAGAATATTTTTCTTCCTTCGACCTTAGGTTAAATGTAACTTTTCTACTTTATAAATATTTTTTAAGATAGGGTCTCACTCTGTCATCCAGGCTGGAGTGCAGTGGCTTACTGCAAGCCTCTACTTTGCAGGTTCAAGTGGATCCCACCCCCCCCCCCACCCACAGGAGTAGCTGGAACTACAGTCCCAAACCACCAGCTAATTTTTAATTTTTTTGTAGAGACAAAGATTCATTATGTTGCTGAGACTGGTCTCGAACTCCTGAATCAAGCCATTCGCCCGCCTCAGCCTCCTAAAGTGCTGGGATAGGCGTGAGCCACGGTGCCCAGCCTATAAATGTTTTAAACTTTGTAACTTTTTTATATTAGCAATTAACTAAAATACAAACACATTATATACCTGTACAAAATATTTTCAATAATTTTATAAGTTTTCTATTTTTAGATTTTTTTAACTTTCTGAAATTTTTGTTAAAATATAAGACATAAACACACATTAGCCAAGGTCTACACAGAGTCGGGATCATCAGTATCACTGTCTTCCACCTCCACATCTTTTCCCACTGGAAGGTCTTCAAGGGCAGTAACACACATGGAACTGTCACCTCCTATGATAGGAATGACTTCTTCTGGAGTAACTCCTGAAGGACCTGCCTGAGGCTGTTTTAGTTAATTTTTTGTCTTTAATAAGTGGAAGGAGTACACTCTAAAATCATGTTAAAAATTATAGTAAATGCAGTCTGGGCACAGTGGTTCATGCCTGTAATCCCAGCACTTTGGAAGGGCAAGGCAGGCAGATCATTTGAGGTCAGGAGTTCTAGACTAGCCTCCTAGGCAATATGGTGAAACCCTGTCTCTACTAAAAGTGCAAAAATTCACTGGGTGTGGTGGCTAACACTTGTAGTCCCAGCTATTCAGGAGGCTGAAGCAGGAAAATCATTTGAACCTGGGAGGTAAATAGGTTCAAACTTTACAGTGAGCAGAGATGGAATCACTGTACTCCAGCCTGGGTGACAGAGCAAGACTCTGTCTCAAAAAGCAAAATATAGTAGATACATAAACCAGTAACATAGTTATTTATTATCATTACCAAGTATTAATATTATATAGTATACATACTTGTATAATATGTGCCATATTTTCATACAACTGGCAGCATAGTAGGCTTGTTTACACCATCATCACCACTTGTGAGCGCAACTTTAAGTCAGCTATGACTAACATCACTAGGCAATAAGAATTTCTCAGCCCCATCATAATCCTATGGGATCACCATGGTATATACCGTCTGTCAATGACTGAAGCCTCATTATGCAGCACATACCTGTATCTGTTTCGTGGTGATAATGGTTAGTTGGGACAGCAGTGCAAGATGGCAGCCACCATGGGCTCAGACTATTTATGAAAACCAAATATACAGCCTTAAAATAAAATATGGACCTAAATACTCAGAATCATCCCCTTTTGTAAGAAAATTTAATATAAATGGAGTCAATAGTGCTTTTTTAATTTCAATAAGTTTTTGGAAAACAGGTAGTATTTGGTTACATGAATAAATTCTTTAGTGGTGATCTCTGAGATTTTGGTGAACCCATCACCTGACTAGTGTATGCTGTACCCAGTATCTTTCACCTCACTCCCACACTTTCCCGAAATCCCCAAAGTCCACTGTATTATTCTCTTGCCTTTCATCCTCATAGCTTAGCTCCCACTTATGAGTGACAGCATACGATGTTTGGTTTTCCATTCCTGAGTTACTTCACTTAGAATAATGGTCTCCAGTTCCATCAAGGTTGCTGCAAATGCTATTATTTTGTTTTTTCATGGCTGAGTAGTATTCCATGCTGTGTGTGTGTGTGTGTGTGTGTGTGTGTGTGTGTGTGTATTAATCTATTGTGATATATATAATCACAAAAGTTATTGATTGTGATATATGTGTGTGTGTGTGTGTGTGTGCGTGTGTGAGATATATATATCTCACAATCAATAGTTCTAATGGAGTGGTAAACCCAAGAGCCATATTGGTGCTATCAAAACGGCAAAATTCATGTTGTATTAAAGTTCTCCTGCAAAAGCTTCAGCACCTAATGATGTCTAAAGAAAATATGAAACTCTCTCAGCCAACTGAAAGTCAGTGTTACAGCAATTTATCAAAAATAAAAGAACACAGGACTTCTACCTTCTTCCCACCATTCAATTAAGGCACTCTTTATTTTCCACATTAGTAAATTTTCTAGATATGTCTTGTAGACCTCAAAGTACTGGAAAAGGAATTCCTATTCAAAGGAAATTTACCTTAAGGTAGTGTAAATGACACTAAATGTTTGTCCATTTCAAGTATGTAAGTTGTGCTATAACAAATCATCTTGTCAAGTGTAACCACCATCCACATAGTTGAAATTCTGGAAGGAATACAGTATATTTAAATTATTCCCATCATAACTATTGGGACACATCTAACTCAATTGTGAAAAGACATATTATGCAATCGCCTTGTTGCTAATGACATGGCCTGAGATCTCTGCCTTTTCTGGCTAGCCCTCACCCCTGCTTCTCACCTTCCCTGCAATAGCCCGCTAGCCTGGGGCTTTGTTAGATTAGATGCGAAAGTTTCAGGTCACACCCTGTGGGAATACTGCTGTGTGTGTGGGGTGCTTTAGTTGCATCCCTGATTTCTTCCTTTAAGTCTTAAATGATGCCCTCTTCAAGACATTGTCCTGTCCCTATATTCCTTCACTTCCACTCTTAGCCAAAGCATAGATTGTAACCCCTCTGTTCCCCTCTGAGATTGGCCTTCAACGAAGAAATTTAGTACTTTCCCCATATCTTCTCTTTCTCACCTTTATGGAGGGTGTTGCTGTTTTCTCCCTTTCTCAGGTTCCTTTTTTGTACCATCACTACCCAATGCTTTCCATGACACTTCCTTGCTTTGACCACAAGCTATCAGGTAAGGTTGGAAAGACTTCCTAGTTGCTCTGGTTAAGTTTTGAAACTCTATTTACTCACTCTCCATCAGCCTGAGAAATGAAAATTGGGTCTTCAGCTCTACCACCCTCTGCTGTCATCATCAGCTGATTTTTTTTTTTTTTAGCTCAGATTTTGATAAGGTAAAAATAACAGTAACCAACTTTATTCCTAATTCTCAGCTATCAGAGTCTTTGGTGGTTAAAGTTGGAAAAAGGCCACATGAAGACATGTGTAAGCACACATGATCTCTCTGAATTACTTTCTTTACCTGTAATTGCTTTTGTTTCTAAAAACGAATAAGTATTAAACAGGGCTTTCTTTTGATCATCCTTGCAGTCTGTTGTGGTCTGGTGGAATCTGAAAACTAAAACAAAAACAACTTTAAGTTTGGCACATACTTTGGTTTTGGTGCTGCTGCTTCATGAGATCCTCAGCAGGGGTTTAACAAATAACTTGGTGCGCACAGCAGATCACTTGTTAGTGGGCTTGACTTCCTGGCAAATTGCTGTGTTTCTCCACCTTCTGTTCAGGACTACCAAATGCTGAAATATGAATGAGTACAGAAACAAAAGTGATTCATTGTATAAAAATAAATAAATAGTGTTGACTTGGAAAATTAATTTGATATATGAAGCAAGTAATACTGAGCAAGGTTCTTTGCCATTTACAAGCTGTGTAAAATTTCGTGTGCAAGAAATAACTATCCTGTTAAGTCGCTGAAATTTGGGGGGGCATATAGCAGAATCATCTTAACTAAGATATGTAAGCAAGTTATTTAACATCTTTGTGCGTCAGTTTACTCCTATAAAATGGTTAATAATTCTTACCTCATAGGGCTACTTAAAGGATTAAAATAATCTATTCAAGCGTATTGAACAATGCCTAGCACCTAAGCCTCTCACTATTATTGTTGACCTTCTGGCTGCTTTTGTCAGAACTGGCTCAAGGACTGGGCACATCTAATACTGTTATCGGTGGAAAATGCTCAGAACTGCAGCTGATTGGGGTTGTGGCAGACAAAGACTGGCACACCTGGGGTTTTGGTCACCTAATTATATTGCTTAATTTTTCTTGGTGGTAACCACACATTCAAAAACACCTCAACCTTCCTCGACTCCTTAATTATGTGTGCTGCTCAGTAATTTACTGGTTTCTCTTTCAAGTTAACAACAGGAATCCTGACATGTGCAAAGTAGCTCCTCCTAGAAGCAATTCAGAAGTTAATAATTCCAATAACATTAACCTACTAGAATGCACTGTTTGAAGCTGTGTAGCTATTCCTTTAAGTGTTACTTGCTGCTTGCAATATGCTGGGAAGGATGCCTTGTTATAACTTGTCCTGCTTTTTATACTTTCTTTGTGGTCCCATAGGTGAAATAGGTAATACGTTCAGAGTAATTAATTATGGCTAAAATGAAGGATTACATTTTCCTAGCCTGAACTCCTAGAAAATGGATATATGAGAACATTGTACTCTTTGGATGAATTTGCTTACATTTATACAGTTTAAAACTGTGTATCCCTGAAGAAAATAGATTTGAGTTCACAGCTATGAATTAGAGAGTCATGTGGCTTTTCTATTTTGAAAACAAACAAAGGTTAAGAAGATTGCCAAGAAGTAAATACTCCAAGCTTTATTACTGTGTAGTTTCAAAGGGCATGACTAATGTTCACCTTGACATCCATCTAGGGTTGAGGAGTTTTTTTGTATAGGTTATCATTCCAACGGTTTAAAATGTGGCTTTCAAAATAGTCCTTGTCCTGGCCAGGCATGGTGGCATGTGCCTGTAATCCCAGCTATTCGGGAGGCTGAGGTGGGAGGACTGCTCAAGCTTAGGAGTTCAAGACCAGCCTGGGAAACATAGTAAGACCCCATCTCAACAACAACCAAAAATAATAATGATTGGCTTTTTCCTGTTGTAAATTGTAAGAAGCACAGGTAGAAGGTAGCAGAGGAGGGCTCTAATACAGTCTCCTCCATTGCTATCTGTGTTCTCTTGAACAGATCACTCATACTTCTCAGTATAAAACAACTCCACGGACATGTGTTAAACACCATCTGTGTCAGAAATTATATCAAGTGTTATTAAAGTGACAAAGATAAATTAGACATGGTCCATTTCTTTCTTCTATTACACAAGTAAGGAAATGGAAGCCACTGGTCTACATGATTTCTAAATTCCTTCTCAATCCAGAAAAGTTTCGATTCAGTCAAGCCCTGTGATTTATATATATTTCATTTTTATACATTTCAAGCTGAGTATTTTCAGGTTGCAGAAGTTTGGATGGGTTTTCTTATTTTTCCCAATGATCTGTCACTTCTCAAATGTCAAGGGAGAGGCATCAGATATAGCCTTTTTTTTCAAATTTGGGCTGCTATAGGCAACTTTCCTTCCCGACAGTGTTTCAGCTGAAACATCGGATGAATGGCTTACAGTATTTCAGTCCCAGATCTAAAAGGGACCTTTTTTCTTAATAAGGTCATTGTAGTTAAGGTGGTTCACTACCTTCTTAAAACCTATGGGACTTTACTAACAAGGACTGCTTGCTAAGGTGACAGTCAGTGATGTGTCAAGTAGAAGAATAGGTTAACCTGCTGTGAAATTCCTTAATTTAGGTGCTTCAATATGAAAAAAAAAAAAAGTGCTACAGCAACCTCAACAGGAAAATAGAAGAGAGAGCATTTTCCGTATACTCTGGACTCTGAGAATAGCAAAAGGAGAGGCTAAAAGTAAGAAGGTTTTATGTTACTAAAGGAGAAAGTGAAACTTGAGGTTTGAGAATACTCTATAGAAAATCAAATAACAATTGTGAAAGGCAAGAAGCCACAAGGTCAGCTAATGGCTGGGTTCATCCATCCTCTCTCCAGGGAAGATCCCAACATTATCCTAAATATCTCAAGAGCTGATATCACAGTAACTGAAATATAAGGATGTTGTTGATGATGATGTTTGCTCATCTCATAAATGGAGAATCATAATAATGGTACCTATTTCATAGGATTGTTGTGAGGATAAAATGAGTTTATATGTGAAAGTGTTTTTGTCATACAATAGCAGTATACTTATTTGTGCAAAAAGAAAAAAGAATGCTACCAATTACAAACTAAAGTAGACTATTCTTTTCATAGTTTTATTCTGACAAGTGGTTTTAAACATATTTGTCACACACATTTGCATATGCATGCACCTGTGCAGACTTTACTGTATGGTTGAATTGATGAGACTATAGATGCTCCTGAGTATACATGGGTGGGCTTAATGTATATATGTATTTATGGGTGGAAATATATGTGTACTCAGTACCAGCATTACATTGTACTTGGACATGATTAAATATTGCATTGCATAGTTTTGCTTAATTTTCCTGCTTCACTAATTTTTTTCAGTCTCTTTTCCTAAACATCCAGATGCCATCTATTTGACCACTTTGACTCTTCTTCCAAATACCCTTCCTAACATGCTAATATTCTTATTTTGTGTAACACTAAAGCATTTGCCATAAAAGAGACTGCCTGCCCTATATTCTATGTACTAAATTTTAAAAACTTCTGAAAGTAGCTGTCTTCCTGGTTGATTTTACTCACTAGCACAATGTCCTGAAGATACCTCTTTTTACTGTGCTGAGCTGATGCATAGAAAATACAGACTTTTAATGCTTCTTCCTGCAGGCTAATATAGTTACTCACCAGTCTTAAAGATACTTTCTCTGTTTATCAGGATGTCAAATGGGGTCTAGACAGAAATCTAATAAGCATTTCTACTGTCTTGGGATTTATACATGACAATGAAATTCTAAGTCCAAATGAAAATTGGGGCATCTATAAAAATTACGTGTAAGTTAGTTTCCTTACCCTTCCTTACCATAGGCCCCCGACACCATCAGTACAAAAATAACATGTCAAAGTTCTACCAACCCAAGAAAACATCAGTTTAGGTGACTTAAAACAAGGATCGAAATTTTCTTTATACCTTAGCCATTACTGACTTACTTAATCTATATGTTTCCTTTTCTAAATAATATAGCTACATTATAACAGAGGGCTTCAATGTTTTTGCTTGTTTTGTTTGTTCCTAAGCCTTTCAAGATGCATGGGACCATGATGAACTGTGAGAGTTTCTTACCTCTCCCTCAAGTAATACCACTTAGGATTGGATGTATCTAGGTGGAATAACAATAGTAAAGTTTAGTGATAAAATGTCAAAAGTGAGTTTTAGGCATCTCAAGTGATTGT